GAGAAACACATACCTTACAGGATGCTAAAAAAGTGAAGCACTGCAAAACGAACCGACGCAAGCAACGTAAAACGTAAAGCGAAGCATACTTATGCAAAGTGCAGCACAACACATGGCGGCGACGGGCTGCACGGGCGGCAAAGGGCGGGAGTCGCGGCGACGGGCGGCGACGGCGACGGGCGGCGACGGGCAGCGATGGGCGGCACGGGCGGCGACGGGCGGCAATCATCCCGACGGGCGGCGACGGCGACGGGCGGCATTGGCGGCAATCACCCTGAGATGGTCAACGCAAGGAAGAACCTGTTTGGGGAAAGAGCCAAGAACAGTGAAGTCAAGTCAAGTAGAGTAAATGAAAGTAAAGGAAAGCAACATAAAGTAAAGCAAAGCAAAGCAACGTAAAGCAACGCAGAGCAAAGCAAAACAAGCGGCACGTGTGCCATGGCTCTTGCACAAAAAGGGAGGGGGAGGAGGAGGAGGTGGAGGAGGAGGGGGAAGAGGGGGCCAGACATCGCAGAAGGAGTGAACAAACAGGGCCGCAAGAGGAGGTTCAGAGGGCGAGCTCGAAGAGACGTCAAGGGGCGCCCCCCGCAATATGGACCCAAAGACCTTCAACATGTTCCCAGGAAGCCTCCAACAGACACCCGAGAAGCCGACAGAGGGTTCCAAGAGGAGGCCTCCAGGGTCCAAGGAGGGCCGGAAGAAATTACTCTGGTGACCTAGCTGTTGGAGGCTCGCGGTGCAAAGTGCGTTGCGGCCTTGTGCTGGGAACGCTTGTCTACGGCAGGCGTTTTGCACACAGTCTGTCGGGTGTATTCTCAGGGGCAGATGGGGCGCTGGGCGAGGCTGGGGAGGCCCCACTGGGGGGCGCTGGGGACCACTGGGGGGCGCTGGGGAGGGCCCACTGAAGGGGGGTGCGTCGCGAAAAATAAAATCGTCGGGGCGGAGGGGCACTGGGCGCGGCTGGGGAAGCCCCACTGGGGGGCGCTGGGGACCACTGGGGGGCGCTGGGGAGGTCCCACTGGGGGGGCGGGGGGGGGTGGTGCGCGTCGCGAAAAATAAAATCGTCGGAGCGGTGGGGCACTGGGCGCGGCTGGGGAGACCCCAGTGGGGGGCGCTGGGGACCACTGGGTGGCGCTGGGGAGGTCCCACTGGGGGAGGGGAAGGGTGCGTCGCGAAAAATAAAATCGTCGGGGCGGAGGGGGCACTGGGCGCGGCTGGGGAGGCCCCACTGGGGTGCGCTGGGGACCACTAGGGGGCGCTGGGGAGGTCCCACTGGGGAGGGGGGGGGAGCGCCGCGAAAAATAAAATCATCGGTGCGGAGGGGGCACTGGGCACGGCTGGGGAGGCTGGGGAGGTCCCACTGGGGAGGGGGGGGGAGCGCCGCGAAAAATAAAATCATCGGTGCGGAGGGGGCACTGGGCACGGCTGGGGAGCACACTGGGGGGCGCTGGGACCACTGGGGGGCCGCTGGGGGAGTCTTCTGGGGGAGGGGGTGCCCGCGAAAAATTAAAAAACGTCGGGGCGGAGGGGGCATCACTGGACGCGGCTGGGGAGGCCCACTGGGGGGGCCCCACTGGGGGGCGCTGGGAGCGGTTGGGGAGGCGCCACTTGGGAGCGCTGGGGGCCGCTGGGGAGCGCTGGGGAGGTCCCACTGGTGGGGGGGAGGGGTGCGCCGCGAAAAATAAAATCGTCGGCGGCGGAGGGGGCACTGGGCGCGGCGGGGGAGGCCCCACTCGGGGGCGCTGGGGACCGCCGGGGGGCTCGGGAAGTCCCACTGGGGGGGGGGTGCGTCGCAATAAATAAAATCGTCGGGGCGGAGGGGGCACTGGGCGCGGCTGGGGAGGCC